CCACACATCGCACGCGAGGAGCGGCTTCAAGGTGGGCTCCGTCAGTGGGCAACCCGCGTCGTGCGTCTGGTAGACCTTCAGTTTGCCGGAGGCTGTGTCCTTCACAAGCCACGCCCAGCCAGAGCCAAAGTGACCAATAGCCACATTTGAGAACTCCTCCTTAAACTTCGCGAAGCTGCCAAAGGAGGCGTTGATCTCGTCAGCCACTTTGCCCTTCGGCTCGCCGCCGCCATTAGGGCACATGCTCTCCCAGTAAAACGTGTGGTTAAAGATCTGTGCAGCAAGGTTGAAAACGGGGCCTTTTTCGGTCTTGATAATTTCCTCGATGGTCTTCTGCGCGAGCAACGGATTTGTCTGTGCCGCCGCGTTAAGCTTCATCACGTACCCCTGATGGTGCTTGTCGTAGTGAAACGTCACCTGCTCTTTAGAGAATCCTTTGGCGGCAAGCCCATCGTAGCCCCACGGCAGCGGCGGAATGCTGAAAGTCATGCGTGATGATGTAATTTCGCACTTGTTGTTAAAATAGCTTGAATCTCTTAGACCTTCACAAGCCAAAACAAAAAAATAAAAAATAAAAATGCATTTTCCTTGAATCACACCGGCATTCAGACACATACACACGTCATAGCGGTAAAAACAAGGTGGGGGGGGGGGCGCTCAATTCACAAAGGATGGACGTTGTAAGACGATCACACGCAGCTGCGCCACCCCCCGAAACAACCTGTAAATTGAGGCGCTACTATGAGCTTCGTGCCGCAGCAAGCATCATGCGCCCCGTTGTGGCTCGCACAGCCGCTCGATGGAGCGCTGCAGCTCCTCTGAAGAGCTGGAGGCGTTAAGTTTAACCCGCGGAATGCCTTCGCAATCACATACAAACTTTGTATAATTCCATCGTATGGGACCGAGTGTGGTCTGCAGCATCTGAAACAAGGGGTGCGCGTCAGGCCCCTTCACCTTCACCTTGTCGAAGAGCGGAAAATTCACCCCCCATGTTTGCTTCCACTCGACGAGCTCCTCGCTGCTCTTTGGCTCCTGGTTGGCGAACTGGGCACAGGGAAAGCCCAGGACGGTGACTCCGCGCGATTCGTACGCCCGCTGCATCTGTATCAGCTGCTGCAGACTTGCGGGGCCAAAGCTGCAGAGAGACGCAGTGTTGACAATGACCGTCACACACCCGGTGTATTTGGAAAGTGCCACGCTTTTGCCACCGATCAGCGCAGAGTACGCGAACACTGTGTTACCGCTCATTCCCCCCCCCCCTCGGCACAATTCCCCACGCGGGCACCTAGACAAGAAGAGTGAGAGAGAAAAAACACCGTAATTTGTTTCTCACTTCTGCCTTGTTCTTATTTCTCATTGGGTTTTTTGCCCTACCTCGTTTCCCCTGCGTTGTTGCAGCACACATCTCGCGGGGAGAGGGAGTTTTGTCCCCCGCCGTGCTCGGCAATGCCGATGGCAGCATCCCTCTTCGCGGCAGGAGGAGAGAAACAGGAAGCAAGACAGGGCGAAGGACCACAAAACGACACAAAACAAAAAAACAAAACAAAAACGCGCGTAGTCATCCAACGAGCAGAGCCGCCGGTGTTATTGCGGGCGTGCGGGTGGTCGTAGAAGCGTCCAGCGCCGTCCCTGTTACTTCCGTGTGGTAGTCGACACCCCCGAAGCGTGGTACCGATCCACGGCCCTCTTCACGGCCCCAGTAAAGGCAGGAATTCGGATGGGCTGTCCGATGCCTCCCTCGTCCACAATGTGAAACGGGTTCTTCATCAGATGCTCTACGTACAGGGAATGCAGCTCGCGAAACAAGGCCGTGCACTCACGGGTACGGCTATCCGAGACAAGCACAAACTTCACCAACGTGGGGGTCTCGTAAATGTGAATGTTGTGCTCATCAAACTCCACAAGCGACATCCCTGCACTGTCAACGGGATTGGCGTTCGGCGTCAACTCCTGCGACATGCCGTATGTGGAGAAAAGGATGCTGGACATGGTGAGCTGCAGGTCCGGTTTAGCGCCGAGCTCCCCGATGTTCTCCGGGGCCGTGAAGCTAGACTTTGCAATGAGCTGCCCCGACTGGTTTATAATCCACAGCAGGTGCACCGTCATTAATGGCCAGGGCGGGTGAAGAGGAGCGGTTCACCGTGTGTCCAGTGTTCCTTTTGATATTCCTCACTCCTCTGCCTCTGGCGCATGCGTGTGTATTTGATGTGTTCCCGTCGTGTCACACGCGCCAAAGCACGAGCCGCACGAAAAATTGAGTGGGCCACGAAGAAGCAAGGAGAGAGTGAGAACGCAGGAGCAGCATTGTCTGCCGCAGGGGGATGGGAGGGGGAGAGACAAGTGGCACGGGAAGCAGTGGCCATATAAAGGCAAAAGAAAAAAGGGGGAACATCGTTACAACATCGCTCCCCCGAAAATATCGGACCAAACACTTTTTTTTGTTTCAAATTGCTTTTTTTTTGTATTTCCTTCTTTTTGTTTCTGTCCGTCTGATTACTTTACGCTATGGTGACGTGTGTGTAGGAGGGCGAAGGGAGGGAGGAGGGGGGAAGCCACACGCACCCCTTAATTTATCCGAGTTATTTTTGCTTCGCTTTTACCCTCGTTCTTTCCACTTCGTTGCCTAATGCCTTCTTTGCCGCCTTGTCCCGGCCGTCTTGCTGCAGCCTCTGTTGATGTTTTTTTTTCTTTCTTTTTTGTTGCTTCGTGGTTGTTGTTGTTGTTTTCTTGACCGCCGCCAATAAACACACAATTCCGCGTCTGACAAGCGGCGCACAGCTGCCCACGCTCAGTCCCACGGGGGGAGACCATCCTCGCTGGCAGCCTCGGCCCCGAGTGGCGTAGCGCGGTAGAGCATGCCGTCCAGCACCTCCCCCACCACACCCTCCAACTCCTTCTGCGCCGCAGGCGTGGCCCACACGTGCATAACAATCACATTCTCTCGTGCCGCCTCGTCCTCGTCCTCCTTCCAGGGTTCGCCCTCTTCCAGTGCAAAGCAGCAGGAACGGGCGTCAAGCGTCAAGACGCCTCGTGCGTGGGGTCGACTCGCCAACCAGATATCTCCCTGTGCCCATAAAATTGTGGCATACCGACAGCACTCCCGCAGTCCATCTGCCTCTAGCAGCGGTGCAAGACGCGCTGCCATGAGAGGTCGACCCACACGTCTAACAACAATTTCATGGAGTGCCGCCTCTGACGAATTCAAACCATTTGCAGCAGCCATCGTCACCCGCGGCGGGAGATTGATCAGTCGGCGTGCCGTCAGGCCACAGTAAAGCACAAGGTCACTGTTCAACTGGCTTGCAAGGCGCAGTAGACCCCAAGTTGGGGGGGAGAATTGCTCCATGTCCCTGTCCACCGTCAAAAGCATATCCGATAACATGGCACCGTACACAAATGCAGTCGCGGCTGCCTCGTTTCGTTGCTCCATGATTGCCTCGCTCACTCCTGGAAGTAGCAGCGTCATAATTCGCGGTCGTGCACCTCGCCCTGACCAGTGCGTCAGCTCCTCCTCGGAGAACGCATTGACGTCGACGTCACAAGAGAGGCAGAGAACGAGAACATGTGCCCCTTCACGCAGAGAGGTGAGGGCGGCCTGCTCAATTTCCTCGCGCAACGTTGACTCCGTAACTCTCAAAACCACCTCTGTCGTGAGTTCCTTCGCAAGTTGCGTGGTGTGTCCCTCGGTATCACCAGGCGCACAAATGACCATCAGCTCCAGTCCTGCTAACGAGTTGGACGGTGGTGCCTTGGAAGAGTGCGTCGCACCCACCACATCGTCTCCAAAGACGCCAAAACCCTTCAGTGGCACGTACACGCCAGCATCATACGCCCGACGCAGGCAGCGTTGCAGATCCTGAAGTGCCCCTCGTTCTGACTCGGTCTGTAGCAGGCTGGTTGCCTTTGCATACCCAAACCAGTCGTACGGCTCACCTGGGGATTCATCTTCCTCCACTGCATCCCTGGCAGCACCAGACGGTGCGGCAAGAGCCAATGCAACGTAGAGAGTCACGCATACACTCGCCCCATCAACACCGCTGCGGTCATAGTAACACACGGGTGAGATGCAGCTTGGAATGTAAAAATTGTCGGGACTAATGTCACACTGTTCACATAGCGCCCGCACAGCACAATCCATGGCGGATTCCTCCGCATCGTCATGTAACAGAAATGGCACTCGCATGCCATCAAACTCTCCAGAAACACTACGTACAAGCACACACTTACGCCCTCGCACAAGAAGTGCTCCATAGGCGTGGGCGATAGCGGAAACGTTGTATGTTGGCACCTCTGTCATCGCGCAAACCATCATGGATCGTTTTTCCTGCATCCTCGTGAGTGGTGTAAGCGTCAACGCCTTAAGTGTCGTCCTTCCGGCCTTATCGCGTTCCAGGCTGGACTCCACACGAACTGCCAAGCCTTTTTTTAACTTAAATCCCCTCAGTTCGGCGGCACCCAACTTTGCAGCCTCCTGAAGGCAATGCATCACCACTCGACCCTGTGTGGTGCCCAAAATACCTGCGGCACCAGCGTCCATGACGCGAGCCTCCAGCACAACCCGTGTTGGGTGCCTACAATGCTGCAGCGTCATGATACCACACACGGTGCTGGTTTCCGCGGGGCTGTGACACCCCTCTGAGCAGAACCCCTCGCTTCCCTCGGTTGAGGCCACCTCTTCGTCCGCTGCCGCCACCTCATCCGTCTCCGAGCCAGCTGCACCGTCGCTATCGTCGCAGCCGGTGGTGGACAGCGGACTGAGCATGACCCGCTGCTCTGTCTTCTTCGTCTCCTTGCTTAACACAAAGTCAATGCGAAACACACGTGGTACACTGAAATGTGTCTCCAAATTTATTGTCGTGCCATCCGCGCTGATGCCCGTCTCCCTAGCCACGGCCTCAAAAAGTGAAGGCCTTAGATTTGTTGAAATGCACCACGAGTCAAGCAGGAAGGAAACTCCACTGCACGTGTCCATCGCCGAATCATGGAGCCATTCCTGCCATTCCTTTGCCTGGGCCACATCCGACAGCAATACCACCAACCGAGGCTTGGGATAATCCACTGCAGGAGCTCTCTTGTTTGCATCCCTTGCAAGTTGCTGAAATGGCCGGACAGATGCGGGACAAAGAAGAATGAGGTGACGCACAAGACGATCTGTGTGACCAAGCATCTTCTCCCCCATGATGACGTACTTGAAGGCAAGCGGGGCCGACACACCCGCCGCGACCATCGTGGCCTCATGCGGGTTGAGTTTGGCCAGCACATTCGCGAGACGCTTGACAACCGGGCCAACCGTAGGTGTGACGCGCTCCCCCTGCTCCATCGCCTCAGGCAGTGCCGTGGTGTCAGCGACGTACATGGCATGTGTGGTGTTGGGCCGCTGCGAAAACAGATGTGAGGCGAGCGGCGCCCATTGACTGCAGGGGTGTTGATGCTCGGACCCCCTCCGCGTCTTGAGCACAATTACGGGCTTTTCGGGAGAAAACACCACTTGATACCCCGGCCGCGTGTTGGCGAAGGCGTAGAGACGCACCGCCACATCCTTCGACGTGCCGACGATGTGGTCACGATGCTGCCGCTTGTCTGCGCGGCTCATGCTCCGTGCCTTTGTGTGTGTGTGTGTTTTCCCCCTCCACTTCGACTGCGTCGTCCTCCACTACAAGACACCAGAAACAAACCCACGCACAACACCCCTCGACAGCCCCACCTCGCCAGGGAGATGCAGGCGTCAAAAAAAAAAAAAAACAAAGGTGTGAAGTGTAGAGAGCGCCAACGGTGTGCAGGAAGCAGAGAGAGAGCGGGAGGGAGACGGCCGGTGCGGAATTCACCTGCGGGGCAGCGAGAGTGGAAGAAGGGCGGTGTACACGCATTACGAAAGAAAAAAAACAATAAAAAAAAAAACAGAATAACAACAATAACAACAAACGAAAAAAAAAAAAAAAATTTTTTTTA